ATTGTAAATTACTTCTAGTGCAAGCATTTTCAGTTTACTTGCAGCAAATAAGAGAAGTATTTTTAACGTTAATAGTGAGGTAGTTTCAAGTAAAATTTTTAACGTAGGCTTATTAGATTGAATTTTGAAAGCCCAAACTTGTAAATACCTGTCAGGGTCCTAAGAGTGTGAATCTACTGCTTTTAAAATGATGTCTGTTAAAGTGAGGGGACTTCTATGTACTTGACACTCACAATGTTTTAAATCAGTTAGAGAATTATGTCCATATAGCTTGCAGAACTGACATCAGAAGGGGAAACATAATTCTCGAGCGGTGGCATCATTCTGGTTAGCAAAATTGTAGAGTATCCCCCCACTAGATAGTGGCAATCTGGTAAGACAGGCAGTCAATGGATTTAGGTGGTTTAGGAGTATGTTGTTGCAGTGATGATGATTCACTATGTGTTAGGGCTTGTTTCTGCCTGGAAGTCTGCCTGGGCAGTGATCATCCTCTTACCTGTTTCTGCCACAAGCAGCAGTATGTATCCCAGCCTGAAGGACATTGAGAGCCAGTCACTTCAATATTATACAAAATGGTATTGATGAAGAGAATTGTGGTAGCCAATAGATATTATTACTAACTTGTACATTTAAGCAGTTTCCCATATTTATGACGAACTTTACATATTTTCAGAGGAATGAGGATGAGGAGCCCATAATTGTCTGTTTCACCTGTCATGCGAGACTCGTTCGCTGCAGGAGATTGCAACAACAGGTTATTGAGTCGAATGCAGTTCTGGAGCAGTTGCTTGCAGGAGGGTCCATGGTATTATTTATTCCATCCATTAAAACCTGTAAAAGGGCCTCATATATTGTTTCATATGAGGGATTTTGCCATGCTTGGCAGGTTGGCAACCGCAGTTTATATTAGTTTGAGTTGTTATCAGGAAGATGCTGCTGCCCAACTGCTGTTTCTGTTTCCCTCTGTTGCCACTTATGACCCGTCCCGTGGGTAGATATATAGGGCAGTGGATATTCTTACACCGCTACTACACGGTCCACAGTATTATACTTCTTATTAATAAAAGTTCACTGCTTGGTGGTTCATTCCCATTATAATGAAGTATTTACGGCTTACGGCTTAAGACATTTATTTCTCAAAAAGAATACAATTCACTTATCATGAGAAATAACAAGTTAATAATTAGATACTAAATAAATAAACTTATGAAGAACGGCAGGTACTTGTAAATGCTCTGTTTAGTAGTGGATACGCACAATCTTGTTACTTGTGGATAACAGGAAAAGTATGTGTACAATTACATATCGTTATTGAAAGAAAGTCTATAGCAATTACACATAGTTCATATTTGCTAGCAATTTAGATGGTATTTTTATGTCAATGTTTATATTTTAAATAATTGGTAAAATCAAATTAATTAAAGAAATAACATTAGCTTTTTGAATAAGTTAATGTTATTTAAAATCGAGAAAATTCTTTTAAGATGTGGTGCTGTAATGTTTTTTTGTATAAAATAAAGGACTGTATCTCTTTTATGTTATTAGGCAATTTATTATATAACTCTGCTCCTTCGTATAATATATTTTTTCTTCCGTAGTTAGTTCGAGGTTGTCTTAGGCAAATGTTATTTTGTCGTCTAGTAATACGTTTTTGTATTAGTCCTTTTTTTGTAAACATTATTTTAGAGTGTATATCTTTATTTAATAATTTATGTACTAATATGCATGTATTATATTTATAAATCTGTGATAATATCATTAATTGAATTTCTTTGTAAATTTTTTCAGTGGGAGTTAGATAGTGATAATGGAATAGTAGTTTGATTATTTTGTTTTGACATGTTTCAATTTGCTTTAGATTTGTTTTAGTCGCAGTACCCCACACCTCTATTAGGTAGTCTAGATGAGGTTTTATCATGGAGTTGTATATAATATATCTCACTGATTTTGGCAGACAGCGAATATTACCACGAAGCGCACCGATGATAGAAGATAGCTTAGATCTTAATTTATTTAGGTGCGGCTGCCACGTTAAGTGTTTATCTAGGTGGAGTCCAAGATACTTTTCTGTACTAACTTTGGTTAAGGGTTCATTATTTATGCGGAGAGTTAAGCGATTTTCGGTTTTTTTGTTTTTATTGCTGAAAATAATGTAACTAGTTTTAGATGTGTTAACAGAAAGCAAATTTTCTTGGAACCATCTAGAGAGTGTATCCAAATCCTGCTGTGCTTGTTTAATGATCTGCTCTATGTCCTTGCCAAATAAAAATAAACATGTGTCGTCAGCATATAGTATTATATCACTTGACAGGTTAAGGTTATGCACATCGTTTACGTATATTATGAACAGCAAGGGACCGAGAATAGAGCCTTGTGGTACGCCGCAGGCTAAAGATTCGTGATTACTTTCCATATCACCGATCCTAACAATTTGCTGTCTGTTAGAGAGATATGACCAAAACATATCGTGGGCAGTATCCCTGATGCCAATATCATATAATTTTTGGAGAAGCAGGCTATGGCTAATTGTATCAAATGCCTTTTTCAGATCGATAAATATACCGAGTGCTGCGCGTTTTTCATCAATATTGTTTTTCAACTTTGTCACAAGGTCAATTGTTGCAGTTAGTGTATTAGATTTTGTGCGGAAACCATATTGATTATTTGATAAGAAGTTAATAGTTTTAAGAAAATTATCTAAGCGTTTATATAATATTTTCTCGTAAATTTTAGAGATAATTGGGAGAACTGAGATAGGGCGATAATTGCCTGGGTCGGTCTTTTTTCCTGATTTAAAAATTGGACTCACTTTTGCTACTTTAAGAGGATCGGGGAAGAATCCGTTTTGTAAACAATGGTTGATATTCATTGTTAATTTGTGTAATATTAAGTTTTTGATGCATTTTATGGTTTTGCAACTAATGCCGTCTAAGCCCGTGCTAGTGTTTGGATTAAGTTTATCTATAATTTTACCTACTTCCTCTTTCGTAGTTGGAGTTAGATAGAGCAGTTCGTACATACTAGAATTTGCCGTTTGTGAGCTAGGCTGTGTAAGTGGTTTTTCCTTATGCATTTTAATTTTATTTGCTAAAATACAACCTATAGTAGCAAAGAAAGTATTGAGATAATTACATATTTCCTTAACATCTGTAATTGGACCCATTTGTGTATCTAGTTTTATAGGAGCAGAGCACGACTTTGTTTTGTTACCAGCTAAGTTACCGATCAACTTCCACATCTTTAAAGGTTTTCTTTCACAGTTTTTGAAGGCTTTGCAATAGTAGTTATTTTTAGTACTCTGAATTTGCTCAGACACGGTATTTCGTAGGGAAATAAAGTCTTTTCTTATTGATTCGTCGTTGGGATTTTTTTTGTAAGTGGACCACAGTTGATTTCTTTTGGTTATCATTTTAATTATGTCTTTATTAATCCAGTCTGATTTAAATGCATTTTGGATTTTGAATTTCGGTATTTACTGTTGTATGTATTCTATGTTTATTTACTGCTTCTTTTATTATATGTTCTAGGCTATCGTAGTCATTATCGGATATATTCATTATTGTGCTTTCTACTTTAGAGTATATAGTTGTGTAATCTAAGGTATGATACTTTACTCTCTTTTTCGTTTTCGGTTTATAATCTCCAATTTCTAAATATATTTGCTTGTGGTCTGACATTGGCGATTCTACTATAGTCATATGGAATTTATGATTTTTCAAATTGGATGAGACATGGTCAAGAATTGATTTTTTTGTCAGTGTATCACGGGTACTAAATTTTGCATCAATTTTGTTTAGGATTGTGTGCCCATTTTCTAGCAGTATATTTGTATAGTTATTAATTGATTGGTTAGGATTGAGCAGATCGTAATTAAAATCGCCAAACACTAAAGCTCTTTGCCTCCTTATCAGCTGCTGTGAGTATTCCTCCAAAAACCCATTGTTTTTTGATTTTGGAGTTTTATATATAGCTCCAATGTCCAACGAGTATTTATCTAAATGAACCCATAGGTAGTGATTATCCTCTTTACAAAAATCTTCTATGTAATTGTGTTTTAAACAGTCGTGGACAAATATGGATACTCCACCTCCTCTGGCATTTTCTCTTATGTTATAATAATGGGTGTAGTTTGGTAATTTTAAACTTTTGGCTTCAGATTCTGACTTGATCCAGGTTTCTGATAGTATAATTACATGCACAAGACTGTTTATGTTATATTGTATAATGCAGTTTAATTCATCGAGTTTTCCTGGCTTCACTATACTTCGTGCATTAGTGTAGAGAAATTTTAAGGATTTAGTGTTTTTTATTAAGTTAGTGTATGAATCAGTTTCTTCATGAGTAGTGTTTGGCGATGTGTCGTCTGTATTTTGCATTGTTAGTTTTTTGGCTGATTTTGGTTATTTTAGGTGTACCTTTAAGTTTTTTTTCACCTCCATCTAGTCGCCGTCTCAGTTCGTCTCTCAAATTACTTCGATACTTTTGTTGATATGGTGTCTCATCAGAGTAGATTTTAATACTGTCAGATTTTATGTTGGACCTTTTGCGTAGAATTGATTTTGCTACTTCGAATGTCGAGAATATAACCTTTATAGGTCTGGATTTATCAGGATTATATTTACCTAAGCGGATAGTTTTCGTCGGTTCTATGCAATCTGGAACAGCCATTTTTATTATTTTCTTTACTTCTTCGCTGTCGTGGATGTTTCTCTCTTCAGAGTTTGAGGATCGTATCTCTTTTATCCCTCGTATGATAACGTTTTTCTCCCTCTGAGATCGTTCGTAGGTCTCCGATACTAAATCTTCATAGCTAAACGAAGGCGCAAGTATCGCAGAAGTCGATCCAGATTTTAGTGATGCTATTTCATTTTCGATAGTCTCCACTTTTTTCTGAATGTTAGCTCTAAAACCTGAGATGCAAGCTAACACCGATTTTATTTTGACCTGTTCTGAGGATAAAAGATCAGTTGTTATCTTGATCAAGCTGATCTCTTCCTTTATTACTGAGACATCTTGAGCAATTCTGTGAAGATTTTCAGTTTGGGTTTTAGCCATATCCTGTATAAGCGACTCCATTTTAGCTTGAAATTTATCAAATTGTACACTAAAGTCATCATGCGGCTGTTTTCTTTTGGCCCGAAGAGTTATCTGGTTGGTGTTCTTTGGCCCGAAGATTGGTTGGTGTGATCAGACAGGGTAATCTTTCGCAAATCTGGTTGTGAACTACTAGTCTTTTCAAGCTTATTAACACTACTTGTGGTTGCTATCGAATCTCTATTGCCTTCGTTATACATGTTAGGCGACTGCGGTGGCGATCGAACGACACTCATCGTGTGTTATTGTTTATAAAAAATATATATGTATTTACTTGATATCTCGCTCGTGCAGAACCACGATGAATGCGAGCTGGATATTAGTAGCCCTTCTCTTTTCCTCGAGGAGAGGAGTTGCAGTTGACGCTCGCCGCTCACTCAAGTATGTTAACATATATCAATAACGACCTAGGTTGCGTAAATAAGTTAATACTAAATAAGAACTTGTGTAAAGAGCACTTAGTTTCACTTTTCTTTAAATCACTATTATCACTTTTATAAAATTATCGTCGACACGTCCGTACCGTAAGCTTCCTAAGTTCGTACCTTTTTTTTGCCTTTTTTTGCCTTAATCATCACTTGGCAGGCACCTTGATGGTCACTACCTGTCTCGCGCCTTCTATGCTGTTTCCCTTTGCCATACAAGCGAATGGTTTTTTTACTGCAAAGTTAATTTTCTTAAAGCAATGTTCTATATTTGACGAATTACAGTGAGTTAAGTACTTATTTTTACATAAATAATTTATGTTATATATTACTCTTTGTATATAAATGAAATATTATCTATAGGTAACATCACGCAGTGAACAAATATTAATCTTTGTTAGTTTACGGCATTAATGAGTGAAAAGAATGATTGTTGGACTCGATAGTCGATAGTAGGATAGATATTATTTATCTTCATTCTGAACTCTCACTTTTGTCCGCTTTTCATTATTATTTAAACTTGTTGTCAAGAAGTTGCTGCTGCCCATCTGATATTTCAGTTTCCTTCTGTCACTTCTTACAACATCTGCAGGATGGCATGTCACTTGATTATTCTCTTATTTAAAAAAATCATTTGATTTCAGTCAATACCAAAACAGTATGAGGCTAGAGATGAGATTCAATTCACACCAGTTTATCATATAGATATCTGGCCAGTAGAGTGTGATATAGAAAATGATTGTAAGGATAACATTTTCAACCTTGAATCTGTTAAAGTTAAGGAAGAGAATTTCGAATATGAGAATTCCAAATTTGAAGTAAATGGGAATCATGAGAAGGGTAAGATATATTCTTTTTTTTTTGATATTATTAAAATAAGGTACAATTTATCTTATGTCAAGTGGTTACTGTAGCCCATGAACACAAAATAAAGATGGCAAAGTGCATGTAAAACGCACTCATGGAGAAAGAAAAAAACAAATCAAATAATTATTTGAAAGATGAGCATACATGGACATCATAATAAGCTTTGTTAGACATTTTGTTTACTTATGTATAAATATATTTATAAATGTTTTGACCCTGTTTACAACTGGTAAGCTACCACCTATCTTTGCCAGGTTCTTAACCTTGTTGGACTCCTTTCTCTTACCTATTTCTGTCGTCAAATAGCAGTGCATGCACTATATATAGAGTCAATATAATCACAGGCTGTGGGGCATTGCATCTTAGTTGTCAGAGGTGACAGCGCATTGTAGCCTTTTACGTTTATTTCTGGAACAGTTACATGTTTCCATAGTCTCAGTCTGCTGTTAGGATCTAATATATTCGACAATAACTTAAACGCGTAATTGTTAATCTTTGTGACTAACATTGTAAAAAACTCATCAGTCGCAATCAATTTTAAATAGCCGTATGGTTCATTTGTTTCAGGCAATATTTTGAGTTTTTTTTCGTATCCATCAAAATCTATAGGTACAATAGTAGGATCACGTTCACTTTTCCATTCATCATCAGTTAATTGTAATGTTTCATTAAAATTTATATTATTATTTTCGCTCAATTTTGTCCCATCTTCACTTATTTGCGTCGCGTCTTCACTCGCGTCAGAATATAAGCAATCATCTGATAGATTTTCCTGATCACTTTCTTCTTCTGTATACTCATCTTCTAATTCCAGCATCTTAATAAGTTCTTCTTCAGTCAATAGTTTTGTAGAGGATAGTTTTGCTTTCAGTTTTTCTTCTTTATCTTCCCCTTCAAATATATTTCTCATTTCATCCATAATATCTAAATTTGGCACTGATTTATCTAGATGTGTATGAATATGTTTTTCATTCTTTAGATCATCATTACCTTCACTATTTTCTTCTAAATTAATCAATGTTACTTTACCATCGTGTAAGTCTACTTTTTGACATTTAAGTATTTTAATACCTGTATTTCGGCGCATTCCTCCTCTTGTTTTAACACCGCTTCTTAAAAAGGAAAGGTTTTCATTGGCTGGGGGTGAATATAAAAAAGGTGAATGTTTACTCGAGGAAGGTTGAGGTTCTATTAGCATATCTAAGTCCCTATCTCTACATATAGATTTGTTTTCCTGACGATTAATCAATGGACAGCATTCATCTAATGAACCGACAAGAGGCTCAGATATTTTTTCAGAATCACTATATTGTGAGGCAAGGAAAAGCGATTTGCAACGCTTTGATTTTTTTAGACGGTTTAGTTACTATATGTTCTGTTGTCACGGTTTCAAATCTGAAAAATAATATAAAAGTTATTAAAAATTTATATTGATACTTTATAAAAATTGATATTTTTATGGTGTAAATTAATATAAATACTAACGCTTGTGGAGACGGTATTTCGTGAATTGTGTAACGTCGTCTCGGTGTCATACTGCTAAAACAAATAAAGATCCATCAATTTAGAATTTACTTGAACACAAACAATATTATCAATATTTCTTTTAACACACAAAAGAAATACTTTCAAGATTATTTAAAGAATCACCAACCTCTTGTTACCGTAAGGGATTGTATCGTCTTCCTTTAAAAGGTCTAATAATTTATCGCTTCTTCGTTTCATCGTATAAAGGGTTCTGAAAAGATTTTTGCTTTTTATTAAAACCACTACATCGTAATATGACCATTTCTTCCACCGCAATACCAAGGCATTGTGAGTTAGTAAGCAATTTTTTCAGAAAAAACATACAATAAAGGAAAACCGTTTCTATTTTGGGAGTCACCTCAGAAAAATGTACAACAAATCATAATAAACTTATTATTTATTTTAGCACTTTGTCAGTATCGTTAGTTACGAAAAAAGACATTAATCGGTAGGATAATGTTCATAAACAGATAAATTACATATTTGGCACCAAAAGTTGCCTAAAAACATTTTTTTAAACATATCATCTTCATTGGTAAGAATAAAATGTGGCAGTGAATACAATGTTGTACTGTGACCACAACAAAAACACAAGTCACGTCTTATAAGTATGTCAATGGCCATAGCCATTTTAAATTTTGTTGCCAAAATAAATAGAAGTCTGTTCGATTGAAGTAATCATCCACGTCTAGCAAGATTACCATTGCATATAATGTAATTATGTAGCATTAAGTATACCTCTGTATATTCTTTGTAATTCTCTGAAATTAACCTACAACAAATAAAAATTAGTAGATAGTTATAATGCTAGTTTTTACGGAATTTATCTTTTTTTTGTTTATTTCAATGTGTAGTGCTCGATAGTTAGTTACAATATGTTTAATGATTTCTTATATTTACGCGAACACTACACATGATTAAAACTACTTTTACGGATTTTATCGCGTTTATTTTTACATTTTATTTTTAATTCCCGACGTTTCGGGCGCTTTCCAGCACCCATGGTCACGGGGGACTAAAAAAAAATGTAAAAATAAACGCGATAAAATCCGTAAAAGTAGTTTTAATCATGTACAATATGTTTTGTACATTATCTACACAAAAATTAGGTAAAAAATAGAGAACATTCATTGGTCTGGAAACTGGATAATTTATGGTATCATACGAAAGGGAATGAAAATACGAACCTAAAAGTGCAAAAATAATATTAGACGTATTTCATTAACAAATAGGAGAGTTATAAGAACTTAAAAATAACGAAAAATTACTTTTTTATATAATAAAAATCTATCATATAAATCTTCACATAAATAATAACTATCTTTTAACAACTAGTTTTATTTTTCGCGTACCTATTTTTTAAACATAAAATTAATAATAATATATGGATTTTCTCTATTTTTATTCGGACCTAAGTGTGTTCTAGCTATTGTTCATGTACTTTATTTTCACGCACGGTGAACTGAGGTGTCCAAAACAGAAAGGTTATGACCGGTGCATTTAGAAAAGATTAATCTTACGTTTAATGACAATATTTTATTTAAAAAACATTGTCATTAAATGTAAGATTAATCTTAGTCAAGGAGACATGTGAACACTGCCAGCATCTGTTTCATAATGAATATTTTAATCAACATGTTAGTAGGAATAAGCAGGAACTTAAAACGTTCCTATGAATTATGGTGTGAGCGGAGGTCAGCAGTCGTATTTGGAGATATATACTTAAAAGGAAGTCGATACGTAAGCACTTCCAGGAAGATTTCGGCGAATGGACGGATACTATAAACGCTACTGTGGAAGTAATAAAAATATGTTTCTATCTGTGGGTTCATAATTTAAACCTTAAATTTTTTTATTTCTAAAATATAGCGGCTATCTTGTAAAATATTTAGTAATTAAATTAATTACGCATAATAAATTTTACTTTTTAAGTGTAAAAAAGATTAAAAAATACTAGACATCATACATTTTTAAAATTATTTGTTCCTTATGCATCGTGCATAAAACTATCCAAAGTTTTTTACTGCTATGCCAACGAACGTACCGTATGCGTTCACGTGACTTTATTTTTCAAATACACGATAAAACAATGGAAAAGGATGAATAAATTAAGAATAGTGCTTACATTTATCAGCTAATTCACAAATATATAATGAACACTCGTTAACTCAAGTTATTTTAAATTCAAAATAGGCGTTCTGAGTACCAATCTTTTTTTCATTGTCAAAACAAGAATGACAGTCCGAAGCAAAAACCATCGGTGTTTCCACATTTAAAACTTATTTCTAACTGTTAATGTTGCCATAGATTTAAATAAATTTCTACCGTTTTTAAGTAATGCAAAAAAAAACTCAAGACGACACTCAACATTTACGGTGCGTTGGTGGCATGACGTAGTAATCTCGATCAACGCAAATGGTGCGTTTGTGGCAATGAATGGGTTATTGTTTAAGTGTCAGTTTGACATAAGACTTTTGACACTTTTCTTTTTTTTTTGTTCGTTCAAAAATGTATAATCTATGACAAATTGTGGAGAAATAGTAGCCACGGTTTGTTTAGGAAAAACATAAGTTATGTGGGAGCTATGCTCCAACGGCTTTATTAAGGGTTAAGTAAAGTCTACCTATCAGTCATAAATACTTAGAGTAGAAGAATATTTTAGATAAGAAAGAAATTTATCAGTATTTGTTATTATTTAATGGCAATATTGACTGATTTGTGTTAAGTTCGTCGTCGAAACGAAAAAGTTTATAAAAGTGAATTTTATTGACTTTAATTGCTGACTCAGGTGCTCTGCTTGTTTTGGTTCTTCAGAATGCCACCTCCTGGCGGAGGACAAAGTGATGTGTGAAATATTTTAGGAAAATTGATCAAAATTCTATTAGCGGTAATACTTCTAACTTTAAAAAAAGTATTTAAAAATACATACTCAGAGGTAAGTAAAATTAAATAACTGACAAGATTATTATCGACTGGGTGTGTTCTTACGAATAAAAAATAAATACCCTGTGGAAAAGGCCTGATAGATCCAAATAAAATATGATATTCTATTGGAAATTATGATAAACCATTGTGTTTTTGAAACAACAATTCCGGATACTTACAGGTTGAAGAAATAAATGGATTCATTGGATGTTATCTGGTACAGGTACGACAAATCAGATTGTATCAGTATTCCCAATTAATTATGATCCAGAATTGCGGTACTAGAAGTTAGCAATTGAATGAAAGGGGTTGTATCAGTAAATTATACATGTTTTGAACAACAGATTCGGCAGATAAAAATAGTCATATTTTAGCCATATCCATAATTTCAGACCTACATTTTAAAAACTTATACTTTACGGACTCAAATTCATGTGCATGAGCAAATTCTTTCATAAAAAGAACTGTAACTGACGACTCGCCACCACCACCGTTTTTTGGAACCATCACCGTAAATTAGCTTAAACCTGACAAATCAGGTACATGAACTTGGACAGAGACGAAAAAGCTCAGTATGTGCCTTATAAAAGGATACGTTTGAGCAATGGGCGCAAATGAAATCGGTTTTCTCGAAATTATACTCCGTTGCTAGTAAATATCTCATAAAACCCGCAACTTCAGTGCCGTCAGAAAGATTACTTTCCAAATCAGCGGTAACGGTAACAGCGGCCAAGGGTAGATAAACTACTTTTCACAACAGATTGCGACATGATTGGGGGTTCAATAATTAGTTGTTAGTTATACATTTTGTAATTTAATTTTCTAATATTTTTAAAATAATTCTTGATACCAAGTAGTATCTACGGCGCAAAAATTTTGTACGTGTTGGTAATGTATTTAATTGTTGGTGTTGTACGTGTTGGTAATGCAGCTTTACGAAAAGCATGCACCTTTACGACCAATTAAACTTAAGCATCCGCCGGCTCCTTGGCTCACAAATGAAATCAAAGACCTAATGTTAAGAAGGAACCAAGCCAAATCCAAATTTAAAAAAGACCCCTGTGATATAAATCGTGAGAAGTACAGAATACTTAGGAATCGCTGCAACACGATGTGTAGAGATGCGCAACGACGTCACATTCATAAGACAATTGATGAATCTGATCCTAATAAGGTTTGGAAATTTCTCAAAAGCTTGGGAATTGGTATGAAGCAAAATGACTCCCTTCCTCCTGATTTAAACATTGAAATGCTTAATCAGCACTTTTCCTCAAGTTCTAGTCACGTTAACAGTTGTAAATCTAGAACCTTAAATCACCTTCATTCTTTGCCAACTCCCGATTTCTCTGAATTTGTTCTACGTCAGTTTGCTGACTGTGACGTTAAAAAGAATATCACAGCTGTAACTTCTAAAGCAATTGGTAGTGATAATGTCAGCCGAAACATGATTCTCCCGCTATTAGATATCTTGACTCCTATCATAACCAAAATTTTCAACAACTCTATAAATTCAGGTACTTTTCCTACATTATGGAAAGACGCACAAATTATTCCATTACCCAAGAAATCCAATCCCAAGTCCTTCTGTGATTATCGTCCTATTTCCATATTACCTTTTCTTTCTAAAATTCTTGAGCGTCTTGTTCATCAGCAACTTAGTCTATTTTTGAATCAAAATAGCCTCTTAAATACATTCCAATCAGGTTTTCGCCCTGGCCATAGCACCGTCACTGCTTTGGTTAAAGTCACAGACGACATTCGAGCAGGAATGGAGAATCGGCAAGTTACTATTCTTACTCTTCTTGATTTTAGCAATGCTTTCAATACAGTCGATTTCGACATACTCCTAGCTGTGCTTCGTTCTATTAACGTATCTCCAGCAGCAACCGACTGGTTTCGTAGTTACCTGTTTGGACGCCGTCAATGCATCCGTAATGAAGACACTTATTCCTCGTGGTGTTCTCTAGATGCAGGCGTACCACAGGGTGGCGTGTTGTCTCCTCTCCTTTTCTCAATTTTCATACGCTCTATTACTTCAGGAATTTCTTCGCTCTACCATCTTTATGCAGACGATCTCCAAATATATTCTCAAACAAGTATTGAAAATCTTCCATCCGCCGTGCTATCCATAAATCGTGATCTCTCAATTATTTCTGAATTTTGCACATCTTATGGAATCAAGGTTAACCCTAGTAAAACACAGGTAATAGTGATAGGTAGCAGCAAACTACTACAAAAAATTACGTGGCATACGCTGCCCTTTGTTTGTTTTG